CTAAATTCTAATCTAGGTAAAAAACTAAAAAATGACACCTAATTGAATTCTAATTGTAATTGCCTAATGGGCCTTCTAGAGTTCTAGTTCTAGTAGAAGTCTARAAGTRGAAGAYTADTAGGAATTAGGAAACTACTCAAACTAGGAAGTAGGAACTACCAAACTAGTAGAATACTAGTTCGATTCGGGTTAGGTTGGTTTCGGTTTTCACGCAAGAAAACCGAAACTGACCTGAGATTTCGGTTTATGTATGTGCCCAACCCAAAACCAACCGGTACAAATGAAAACCCAACCGACTTGAGTTGGGTCGGTCCAGATTGGTCGGTTTGGTCGGGTTGGGCATTCTTATGAACATCCCTATTAATCCCAATCCCCACTTCCACCCCCAATAAGGCTATTTGTATCCCTAACCCGATGGGTTGGGGAATTTGGATAAAGGTTTTAGAAACTGACTCAAAAGCGAAACCGTTATAGGTACCAATTTTTAGGTCAGCGGTTCGATCATCCAGGTCCAACGGTTTGGATGGTTTGTATATTAGGGTTAGGGCAAATGTTTTATATGAAATGAGAACTGGAGTGGAGAAGAGATGTAGGTTGAGAAAGAAAAAAGAAAGAAGAAAAAGAAGAGAAAGGAAACGAAGGAGGGAATAAGAAGGAGGGAAGAAGAACGAAGAGGGGGAGGATGGTTCGACGTCACCGACGACGGTGAAGTGGCAGCAACAGTAGACCTAAGTTCTCATATCTGATATCTGGGATCTGAGTTCCCTCAGATTTGAGATCCGAGATTCTCTGCAATCTCTGCAATCTGTAACATCTTCTTCTTCTTCTTCCATAGATCTCAAACACGAAACACGTTCTCTCCTGCATCTTTATACTGTGGATCGCTGTCTGGGTCAAACGAGTTGATGGTTTGACCGCTCGGATCAATGGTTTTCTGACGAAATCAATGATTTTTTACCAAAGAACAAGTTAAGGGTAAATGAAACCAGTTACTTAGACGATTTCCGAGCCAAACGATCCGACCATTTGAATCGACGACGGTCCAAAAACATTGGATATTTAGAGTCCGGATATGCTCCTCATAGCCTCAGTCCTCATACGGGAGATGTTCCCATGTGCAGCCAAGAGGCCCAAGACATGTTATGGATGATTTTATGATTGTCAGAAACCTCAGGGAGGTTTTTATATTTTACCTTAACAAAAGTAAAAAATTGCGATGGGCACATCGTATTCGTATCGTACCTACCATTTTCAACTGTCAAGGAAACTGGGAAGGAGCACTGAGCAGAGAACTCCCTCTCACGCCTGAAACCCTCTCTTTCAAGGCGTAAAACAGCTAGAACCAGTTTCTAATTTCGTGGAATTTCGTCCATTCCGCAGTCCGCTCCGAGTAAACCAAAATATTATTAGTGTTTCGGACGAGGTGCCTCCCGTCATCACAAGGGATTGAACCCTAGAAACCTAAGGATTTGGTAACCCTAGTTTCTACAATTTTCCAAGCAATACTGTTTATTCCTTTTCTTTTTCATTAGCTCCAGTTGTTCTCTCGGGGGCACGGACTACTTAAATGCCTCACACTTCGTCTGCTAGAAAACATGGTGGAGATCAGTCGGACGGTAGTGGTTCTCTTCAAAAATCCCAACGGGCCAAAATGGGAAGAGTCACTGAAGACGGCGATAGGAAGGTAACTCTTGCTTCCTCTTGAATTTGACCAACAGTTTCAGTGTTAAATTACATTATATTTTACGGATAAGTACACTGGTAATTGAAAACTCTCTAGCTTTGGATTATTATCCTCGTAATTACTCGTTCTTGCTTTTTTTTTTTTTTTTTTTTGTATCTTTACTGCAGAGTTCGAACAAGAGACTCAAGGATGTTGAGATTAGCGTTCCAATAGTCTATGGAACTATCTCATTCTGGCTCGGTAAAAAGGCGAGTGAGTAAGTATGTTGGCTGGTGGATTCGGACTCTTCTCGCCACGTGTTCGACTAATTTTCTCCTGCTTACTTTAATTAGGTATAATTCGCACAAGTGGACTGTCTATATTCGTGGAGCAACAAATGAGGATCTGGGTGTAGTGATCAAGCGTGCCGTGTTCCAATTACATCCCAGTTTCAATAATCCCACTCGGGTTGTGGAGTCGCCCCCATTTGAGTTGTCGGAATCTGGGTGGGGAGAATTTGAAATTGCCATCACCCTTTATTTCCACAGCGACGTCTGTGATAAGCAGTTGGACTTGTGAGTTGTTCTTTTTCTGTTTTTACCTTTTCTGCTTTTTAGTTTCTGAGTTCAGATTTACTGCGATGCTAACTTCAATTTGGTAATACTGGCTTCACATTTTACAGATATCACCATCTGAAGCTGTATCCAGAGGATGAATCTGGGCCCCAAACCACCAAGAAACCTGTTGTTGTAGAATCTTACGACGAGATTGTGTTTTCCGAACCATCTGAGAGTTTCTTTACTCGTGTACAGAATCATCCTGCTGTAATTGTGCCTAGGCTACCTGCTAGTTTCAACTTACCTCCTCCTGGTATGGTCATTGATATTCTGTCTTGCGTACAACTTGTTTGTATATTTTAATAAATCTTACCTACCATTTTCAAAAAAGTAATATTCCTTTTTTAAAGCTTTTTACTCCTTCCAATGTTGTTTGGTTTTCATTTTTGTAGGAGCAATTGACAATGTTAATGAAAAAAAGAGAGGTGATACCAAAGATCATCCGCTAAGCCAGTGGTTTATGAACTTCTCAGAGGCAGATGAGCTACTAAAACTTGCAGCTGCTCGACAACAGGTTAGAATGAATTAGATGGTGTTTGGTTCTATTTCCCTGTATCTGAAAAACAGTGCCACATAGGTGTTTCCCCAATGGAGTTTGAAATGTTATTTGGTTAAACTATTTATCAAAGAAACATTTTTCTTGGGTTGTGTGCAAGCTATCTATTGGGGGAAACATAAAAAATGATGTTCCCCCCAACACATAGGTGTTTTATCGCTATTCAGTTTATGTAGCACCTAATGGTGTTTAATAACACCTAGCTGTCAAAAAACATTTTTAAACAACTTTTCTCGTTTTTCAGGGGAGATGTTGTACAAAACATTTATTAAATAAATGACAATGGAACTAAACAGCCCCTTAGTTGCTCCCATTTTTCTTGTTTTTTTAATAGGTATTTCCATTTCACTTCTTATTTGTTTATCTTTGGATTATTGATTGTAAGTACTCTTTTGGATAACTCCATTGTGATATGATGTAATAGGAGAGAATCTCAAGGATTAAAGTTTCATCAAAACTTTGATAGTTTATTCCAACTTTATTGGTAATCAAGGCAAAATCCTTGGAAATATATTGTTTTAGTTGAGTTGAGAAATACACCCGCAGTAATTCAGAAAATATAGGAAAATAAAGAAAGAAAGGAAGAGAAAGAAGAAAGAGGTTTCAGCAGTAGGTTGTGGAAGAAGAAGAAAAGGAAAGAGAGAAAAGAAGAGTTCGAACCTCTCTCTCTAGCCCCCTTGATCTCTTTTATTAACTTAATTATAAAATTAAGTACAATTACTTGGATTCCCTTAATGGGTGGCCAACACTAAAGAAATAATTAAACAAAACAATAAAAGCCCATAACTAAGGCCCATAACCAACAAACATAAACTTAAAACACTACTTAAAAGAAATAAAAAACACTAGGGCCCATTCAACCCATTATCACTACACTCCCCTCAAGCTGAGCATATATGTCAATCATGCTCAACTTGTTTACATAATGTTGAAGCTTTGCCTTTGGAACTCCGGCTCCCTTAGTTAGAAAATCTGCTAACTGCTTTTCTGATGCAATGGAAGAAAGGCATACCTTTCTTGAAGTCACTCTCTCCTGTATAAAGTGTCTGTCTACCTCAATGTGCTTAGTTCTATCATGCTGAACCGGGTAGTGAGCAATGCTAATAGCAGTCTGATTATCACAATACAACATTAGTGGCTCGTCACATGAAACACCCATCTCATCAAGGAGAGATCTAAGCTATAACTACTTAGAAACCCCATGGGCCGTGGCCCTATGCTTTGCTACAATTAAAGATCTAGCAACCACTGACTGCATTTTACTTCTCCAGGAAACAATATTTCCGGCTACCATAGCACAATGACTTGATATGGATCTCATATCACCTGCATTTCTTGTTCAATCAACATGTGTATATGCTTTTACCTTCATGTGGCCATGTTTAGTAAACAATATACCTTTCCCGGGGGTTCCCTTAAGATAGCACAACACCCTTTCAGCAACAACCATATGTGTCTCTGGGAGCATGCATGAACTGGCTGATGACACTCATAGCATATGAAATGTCTAGATGAGTCATACATAGATAATGAAGTTTTCCCAGTAGTCTCTAAAACATTTCCTTGTCAACTAAAAGTTCTCCATCATTAACTGAGAGTTTATGGTTCATATCAATAGGGGTAGAGGTAGGTTTAGCACCAAGTTTTCCAGTCTCAATAAGAAGATCCAACACATACATCCACTAAGAAATAAATATACTTTCCTTGGACCTAACAACCTCAATGCCAAGAAAATACTGCAACTCCCCTAAGTCTTTGATCTCAATTTTTTTTTTGATGAATGAATGGTATTTTATTAAATAGAGATAGAAATAATACAAGCATGAAGCACCCTAAGAGGAGGCATGAGGTGTTACCTCCCCTTAAAGATGGTTCCAAACCCAACTCTTTTCAGATTGCAGTTACAAATTAGCTAAAAACAGAGAATCCCTTGAAGCCCCTTGTTTAGATAAAGAATCTGCCAAAGCATTTGCCGATCTAATAACCCATTGAAAGCTAACTGACATGGTGCTCGTAAACCATTTGACTTTTTTGATGATGTCCTTATATCCCCAAACAACAGTTTCTAGGTCCGACATCCATCCCACTATCACGTTAGAGTCTCCTTCAACTATCAAATTATCACTCCAAGTTGGTTGGAAATTTGTAGTCCTTGTACCACAACTAATATCTCAGCCTTTGTAGAGTCTCCATAACCCACTGGACCTGAGAATAAGGACAAAATGTTGCCATCCTTATTCCTCAAGATCTCTCCTATACCCGAAGGTCCTGGATCGCCTTGACTTCTCCCATCATAGTTCAACTTCACAACTCCTTCCGGAGGGGGTAACCAACTTGCTTGTGTTCTATTTTTCTTGGATGATGTGGAGGCCACTGTTGCCCAATCCTTCGAAGGTCATCATTAGAGTAATCCGCAAAGAGATCAGTAGTTTTTAGCCAAAGGATTGCCCTTGTCAGTATACAATCCTTTATTTTAGCAATGCTTCTCCCCTTCTCCTAGAAAATTCTGGCATTTCTTTCCTCCCAAATGGTCCATAAGAGGGCTGTCCTAATACATTTCCACATTACTTTCCCTCTCTTTGTTGGCCAACCAAAAAAAGACGGATCAAAAAGCAGATTTACTTCAGGAGGTAGGTTCCACTTGTACCCAAACAACATAAAAACCCAATTCCAAATATTTACTGTAAAAGAGCAAGAAATCAGTAGGTGATAACAGTCCTCATTTTGCACTTTACATAAAATGCACCAATTGGGGGACAAGCATGAATAAGGTCTCTTTTTTTGTACATTGTTCACAGTATTAATTTTACCATAACACACTTCCCAACAAAAACCAACAATTTTAGGTGGAATTGGCCTTGACTAGACTTCTTTAATTGGGAATAACAAAGGGGAAGGAGTAGAGCAAAGGGACTTAAAGAAGGAAGAACAAGAGAAGGAGCCACTCGAGGTCAAAGACCAAATTCTTTTATCTGGTTTAGGAGGGTCCAAACAAACAGAATCAAGTAAAAGTAAGAGCTCAGAAGCAAAAACCGATTCCTCATCCCTCAACCCTCTACGGAACCCAAAATCCCAATTAAGAGACAATGGGAGAATGGGGGGAGAAAGAAACCTCGAAATAGGCTCCTTTTTATAGAGGGAAATAGAAAAAAGGGAGGGATAAAGGTCTTTTAATGGTTGGTTGCCCACCCAAACATCTTCCCAAAAAAGCACAAAATTACCATTGCAGACATCATACCTTACGAACTTGAGAAATTTTGGGAGGATGCCAAAAATCGCCTTCCAAGGTGTAGTGAGTGTGGCCCGTTGAGATACCCCGGCATCCCAACCTGATTCAGAACAGCCATGGATATTAGCCACCACCTCATGCCACAATCTCTTTCTTTCCAGAGGTCACCTCCATAACCACTTGCCCAAAAGAGCTTCATTCTTATTTACTAGGTTCCCTAACCCTAAGCCCCCTTGTTCCTTGCTTCGACTCACCACCTCTCATCTAATCAAAAGATCCTTTTTCTCTGCACCTGGTTCCCACAAAAAAATCCCTCATCAACTTTTCTATCTTCTTGGATTCCCTAACAGGTATCCTGAAAACAGACAAAAAGTAGATGGGTAAGTTTGCGAGTGTGGCCCTAATCAAAGTTATTCTATCCCCAGAGAGATATAGTTCTTTTTCCAGGTCACTAGCCTTTTTTCAAATTTCTCTACCATCGGGATCCAAAACCTACTTTCCTTTGGATTTGCACCTAGGGAAAGTTCTAGATAGGTCAAGGACCAAGCAGAAATAGGGCAATCTAAGCAGGTTTGAGACATTCTCAAAGAGGGTTATTAGATTTCTCAGATTCCTTGCCCTCAACAAATCACATCCCTTACAAAAGATTATGATATCATCTGCAACTTGAAGGTGGGTAACCGGAACTTGATTTCTTCCTAATCTCCATCCTCTTATCAATCCAACATTGTCTGCTTTTGACAAAAGTCTACTAAAAACATCAACAACCAATGTGAAAAGGAAAGGGGACAATGGATCACCTTGCCTCAAGTCCCTACATGCAAGGAAAAAATCCTTTACTACTCCATTTACTAAAACTGAGTAGTGGAAAGACGTCAAACAACCACCTATCCACTTGCACCATCTATCCCCAAAACCACACTTTCTGAGCACCTCTAGCAGAAAACTCCAATCCACCAAATCATAGGCCTTTTCAAGATCCAATTTGCAAACAAAACCTTGCCTACCCAATCTTCTCATCTCTTCCACACTTTCATTTGCTATTAAAATTTGGTCAACTATTTGTCTATCATGAACAAAAGCACCTTGAACTTGACTTATGATGGGGGGAAGAGCCTTTTTGATCCTCAAAAATAAGATGTTTGTCAGTATCTTATAGATGCTTGTTATCAAGGTAATTGGCCTAAAATCTTTGGGATGTTTGGCCTCTTTCTTCTTAGGGACCAAGGGTAGGAAAGTGGCATTTACTCCACGGCTAATGACAGACTATTCCTCAAATTCTTTGAAAATTTCTAACAAGTCTCCTTTAATTATGTTCCAACAGTTTTGAAAGAAAGCCATAGTAAAGCCATCTGGCCCTGGTGCCTTAGATCTATCCATTGAAAAAATTGCTTGTCGTATTTCCTCCTCCTCAAAACTCCTTTCCAACCACAATTTCATCTCTTCAGACAGTGTAGGCCAATCCAACCCAGCCAACTCCACTCGACTAGTTAGAGGTTTCCTTAATATAGATTTGAAGTGCGTTACAAAACAATTGGCTATTTCCTCTTGGGAGTCCAACTCCACATCATCCACTTCAAGTTTAGTCACCAAGTTTTTCCTTCTTCCATTGGCCATCTCATGAAAAAATTTGGTATTCCTGTCCCCTTCCTTTATCCATTTATGCTTAGATTTCTGCCTCCAAGATATATCTTCTCGCAAAAGAACCTCCTCTAATTCCTTTTTCAAC